ACCACCAACACTCTCCCTCACCACCACTACCTTTCTCCCTCCCTCACTGCGTCTATTCCATCCTGCCTCTCCCCCTCAATGCCTCCCTCCACCAATCACTGCTTCCCATCCCTCCCTTAGGTTGGTATAAAAAAATATGTAATTTACGAATCTGGATCGAATATATCAAATGTGCATCACAAGTCATCAATGGTATGAGAATCACCTTTGTATTTCCTACCCAGCATGAAAAAGTTTTTATCGATAAAGAAAATTGTGAAAATATAAAGAAAATAAAAAAAATAAAAATTCTTTTTCAGTTTCACTGATTACAATTTGCAATGAAAATGTAACTTAATTTTATATAAAATTAATCAGTCTTTAAATTTCATCTTAAAATATCTTAATAGTAAATTTTGATGTAGAAAATATGTTTGCATCTATATATTGTTTATCAGGTAACCTAACTCCCCATTTAGACAAACTTGAATTAACAATCCCTCCTTTCTCCAAGGCTTCCTACTTGGTAACACCCAGCAAATTTGATGTCAATGACAAATTACAAAAAGTACCATCATTTAAATAAACCTGCAAGATTTACTAACATGGAGCTAAAATGTTCAGACAAACTAGTTGAGAAAATTTGACTATAAAGTGATTTTACACAAATATTTTACAAAATATTGTTTGAAACATACTGGCTCTTTCCTACATAGTTCAAGCACATTTCATTATGAGTTTACTTCACTTAATTACTAAATATTGTATATTGTAAAGTACATTATAAGGGACTTCATCATACCTTGTGTTTTTGTTTTAAGTAATTATAATGTCTCTCGATGTTTGCTTCTGATATGGCGCATTAGGTTACTTTTATCACTTGAACGAAGAGGACAAAATGGACAGGCATAAGGTTTTTCTCCACTATGAATTCTAAGATGCTTCTGCAGGCTTGTTTTTACTGTAGCTCGATAAGGACAAATTGGACAAGCAAAAGGTTTTTCTCCAGTATGAATTCTGTAGTGTCGCTCAAAGTCACCCTTCTGGGCAAAAGACTTCTTACATTCAGGGCAAACAAGATGCTTGTCAGGTGATGGATGCTCTTGAATTCTGCTATCTGAAGTTAAACAATCGCTGCCCCCCCAACTTCTCGGCCAGACAGCCTACAAAAGAAGAAACCTTTGATGGCGTTTGAACAACAGATGTATCTCACTAATTTATTGTACCTTATCCTTCTAAGAATAGATATTCACACTAATAATTAAGGCTCAACACAATAACTTATACACAATAAAATAAATAAGTTCATATAACAATACTGTACTTGCTAGTATCATTTAGAATAATGGAAGTTTGATGCAAGGAAGTTTTAAATCATGTCTGTTCTTAGCTATGACTAACAATTACACTTTTAATATCTGCATGGCCATGATACAGTATTTGATTATGTTGAACCAAACATTGGATAGTTTCAAGGTAAATTCTATTTAGTTTATATAGAAACATTCATGACATTTCCTCTGATTAATCAGTTCAACTAACATTGATACAACAGATTAACTAACACTCTAATTCAAGAGATCAACTAACACTTATATAAGATGATCAGTTAATACTGATTCAACATTCAACAAACTGGAAAAGGTGCAGAGACATACAACTAAATAGAACTGAAAGACAAGAGCTATGAGGAGAGGTTAGAGGCATTAAATATGCCAAAACTAGAAGATAGAAGAAAAAGAGGAAATATAGTCACTACGTACAAAATAGTAGCAGGAAGTGTTAACATTACTTGGGGAAGAATTTCTGAGACTAAATTCGTTCCTGAATTTCAAGAACAAGAGGTCATAGATTTAAACTAACTAAACAAAGCTGCCAAAGAAACATAAGAAAATTTACTTTCGCAAACAGTGGTAGACGGTTGGAACAAGTTAGGTGAGAAAATGGGGGCTAAAACCGTCAGTAATTTCAAAGCAATATATGACAGAGTGCTGGGAAGATGGAATACTGCACGCGTAGTTCTCGTCCTGTAACCACACTTAGGTACTGGTAAGTAATTACCAGTTCAACAAACACTGATGCACCAGTTCATCAAACACTGATGCAAATGATCCTCTAACAATCCAATACAACAGATCAACTAGCCTTCTGATGCAACAGCTTAACTGATAGTGATGTGACAGATTAACTAATACTCGTGGGCCAGCCAGAGGCTTAGGGCCTGCGCAGGAATATCCCTGCAAAAAAACAAAAACTAACACTCTAGTGCAACTAATTAACTAACAATGATGCAACAGATAAACTAATATTGATGCAATAGGAAAACTAATACTGATGCAACGGATCAACTTACACTGATACAGCAGATCAACTAACACTCCAATGCGATTTATTTACCTGAATTTACCTGAGGGCCACTAATACTAGTGGCTTCAAGGACAGGAAGCTGGCGGCTTGTCATAGGTCCCCCACATTTGCCCTGATGATCTTTTCTATCTGTATTTTAAAACCCATCAGAGTTTTGAGATTTACAGCTAAAGTAAGAAGGCGGTTCCATGGGTTTGCAACCCTATGGGTAAAAAAGCATCTCCTGTTTTCTTTCCTACATTGGGGCTTGTTGAGCTTGAACTCCTTGTTCAAGCTACAAGCTCCTTGTTCGTGTTACATCTGATCTTTTGAAGAAAGTGTCGGGATCTATATCTTCTAAGGGAAGGTAACTATCAGGGGAAAGTGCCAAGCCTTTATGACTATAAAGCACTGGGAAGGGGTCAGGATAAGGATTTGGGATGGGACAGGGGAAAGGAATGGTGCCCAACCACTTGGACGGTTGGGGATTGAATGCTAACCTGCATGAAATTGGGTGGAGGGCTGTGTCCTCTCCTCTATCTACTCACTTGATCACCTGTCCTCTCCTGATCACTAGCTTTGAATCTTTGTATGCTTCTAAGATCCTTAACTCTTTTCTCTTTTCTCTTAGTACTGTCTTTTTTTTTTTTTTTGCTGTTCAACTGTGTGGTCTGGGAAGATATAGACATGGTTAAACCCGCCAAGATCTTTCAGGTTATGCTCACTGGTTAGTATCTTCCTTCCATGTTCAAAGTTTTATTAGGTTATGCATACTATACTTGTTTAGGGCTTACCTAAGCTCTCCACATTGGATAGACTAAGATCTTCCTTACTTTCTATTAGTTTCACTATCATTTCTTCAGCGATTTCCTGGTCATTCTTACCCTCCACTTTTGCTAGGTTCCTTATGATGAGGGTGTTTCTACGTTTTTTTCTATCCAAGGCTTCCGCTGCTCCTGCCAGATCTTCCACTCCACTTTCATCAATTCTGCCTGCATTCAGAGCATTTTCCATGAGTGAGGGGTTTCCTCCTGGGTTTACCCTGAGGTAAACCAAAACTTGGTTTACCTCAGGATTCATGCCTACATGTTTGTTAGTTAACGATTTTTGAAAGTCCATAAACTGTTTCATCACAACCTTCTGACCCTCTTGTAGTTCTCTTATCATGTCACAGGTGTTTTTCCCTCTGGTCTCCTCCTTACCTCTCAACCATATCATTGTTGGTGGTGCCTGGGTCATTTAGGTCCTTGCTAGGCTTACTGCAAGGTATGCAGTGAAATGAAAAAGGCGTTTGCCTTCAGTTGGCTCATTATTGTTTGTCTCAATTAATTTATCCAATATATTTTGACATGTGCTGTGATATTTCTGCTTACACAATTTACATTCAATTGACTGATGCCTGGGAGTAATTTTCCTCTCACACATCATACAGTCATCATACTCTCCTGTCATGTTTGCTTGATACTTGCTTGCTACTTCAGTTACTGTAGCAACAAAAGTAAATAGTGAATAAAATAATTTACTTACTTTATGGATTCTAATTTTGCCTCCACATGCCAATGTTTACACTAAATTACTCTGGGCTACGAGGGCTACTCACGCAAATTGTTTTCTTATGGATTTATTTCAATATATTATATATATATATATATATATATATATATATATATATATATATATATATATATATATATATATATATATATATATATATGTATGTTCACAAACAAAGTGTTCTTTTTTATAAAGTCTCATACTCTCAAGCTGTAACTGAGTTTATTGGAGTGTTATAATCCAGATATTTGAGGAAATTTAACTCATGTATGAAAAAGGGCCAGAATGCTCAAGAGTGTAAACAGTGATAATTAGTTTTTTAGAAGAAAGGTGGTGTATGTGGGATGGGTATAACAATGAGGAAATATAGGATAAAAACCCACACTTGTGCATTTGTGAAATTTATGTAAGGAATTTACATAAATTTCAAGATTAGACGTCGAAATGTAAGTCTCGTCCTAATCACACACTCTCAGGCCTTGAAAAAGTACTCTGGAGAGTGCAAAAGGCTTGGTGTAAGTTCCTTACATAAATTTCACAAATACATAAGTGTGGGTTTATATCCTATTATTATGTCTATGAGAAAATATTACCATTACTAAAATGAGGAAATGTGTAAGTGAAATGGTTTATGGAACAATACATGAAAGGAAGAGTTACAAAAAGGGGTTATACAGCTTTTGTGGTGATAGAACCTCATAGGAAAAGTTTTGTTACGGCCAATTCCTAATGGGGAGCTTCTAGGAGGGTATAACATATCAAGACATATTATTATATATATATATATATATATATATATATATATATATATATATATATATATATATATATATATATATATATATATATATATATATATATAAAATCTCATTATAATATTAACAGTATATTTTCATTATACTGTATTTTTCATGATACAATTTTGATGGATGCAGACTCGAGACACTTACATTTATGAAATTGAAAAAAACATCTCCTTGAAAAGCACAAAGAGTTTTTGTATTTAATAATTGTAATAATTATTATAGCTAATAGAAAAATCTAAGAAATTTGTGTAAAAGAGTTACCATGAGGAGCACACATACCAGCTATAACAACTTTAGGAAACAAAAACATCCAAATGGTAAAATTCAATTATATTTATTTGTCTAGAACATCAGGCATTTGTAAAAAGATACATGTATAAGGTATATTATAAAGAGTTAATGTGAGAATTTACAGATATTTAGAATATACAAATCACATTTCAATATTTGTATAAGTTATTATTTACAGAACATTAAAAATACTTAATTACGTATTATATGTATTCAAATTCTCTAAACACTTGCTCACACTTACAATAACTTGCATCCATCTTATCCTCCCTGCTAACTTCCTTGATTTTCTTGTTTGCTTAATTAATGTGTACAGTACTCTCATTCCAATTTCTTTCTATTTATTTATTTCAAGTTTCATTTTCATTGTTTCTCATTGACCTAAGGTTATTTTTTTTAATTTCATCTACTATTTTCTTTTCTCATTCTATTTTTATAGAGTACTTAACTCTTATCACACATTATGCAGTTTTACATTTAAATTGTAATGTTTCACACTGTACAGATAAAATTAAATTGTAACCTGAGACCTGCAGCTAGTAGCATATCTAGTGGGGAAGCAAAGAAAGCAACTGCTTCCCCTGAGCAAATTTGTCAAAAGTGGCACCTTTTGAACATTTTTTAAGTCTTTAGTTCACTGGTGCAAAAAAAAACTCGATACTTATTTTTTTTTTATCACATGGCCTTGGAAGAACTTTCTGGACTCATTACTTTATTTTATCAATCTCCCAGTATTTTAAACTGTATGCTCAATCTCCTGAGATGCATTGGTGGCCACTGGCATCTGGGGAACGAAAACAAACCATTACTACCTCCTCTCTGATGCTGAATGATCTTGTGGAGTTTCTTTTTTTTTCACAACATAAGTCACAATCCCAGTAATTGTAAGTTTCATACCTAATAACTCTATTACTGAGACATGACATTAATGAAGGTAGAACACATTTATGTATATTATTGCTAATAAAATATTTCATGTACTGTAAGGAAAATGAGCATGCATTTACACAACTCGTTTGTTGATAACTGAAAGGCAAAGTTGAACCAAGGATCATTACTCCAAATCTAATTATTATAACATATTCTTGTTACATGCCGATACTCTCTGTTGTGTCATAGACAAATATATAATTGCTTCATGAACTCTTTGTAGAACATAACTGCCTCATAAAACACCTGGATAGAATTGACGAACGTCTAGTATTAGACTGCATTAGGCTCCTAGCACAGTTTCTGACCTTTAGTGAGCTGAAACACAAAAGTTTTATCTTCATTCTATAATAGATTGTCTGGGTTAGCTTTGCTCTCCATTGAAAGAGAGTTGCCTACTTAGGTGCATTATAATGGAGTAATTGATAAATTTACTGGAATGAACCCTAGACAAAAGAGAATGTTGTTCTTTCACACATTTTTCACATTGCTTAATTTATTTTAATCTTACATTTAAAATAAGTAATAACACCTTTTTATTATGTTTTGAGATGAGTTTACTGTCAAACCTTTTAAATACAAAATAGCAATTATGTACTTCCATTAGTTTCGATTTTCAATTACAGTATGTACTGTCTATAATTTTGATTTTAAACACAAAATAAAAATCTATAATGAGTTTAAAATTATTTGGTATGTATCATGGCTTCTTTATTTATGGGCTCCCTCCCTCGAACTTTACAATCTGGTTACGCCCCTGCCTTCAGCATTTTTTTGTACAGTATTACAACTGTACAAATTTCTGAATTAGAAATCCTAACAAAATCCATTTTAGTCAAGAGAAAATAATTATTAAAGAATTGTCTTGCAGCATAGTGAACTGAGCTAAAATCTACTAATCATCAATAAATATAATAAAGGTGAAGGAAAGACCCAATATACGTGTAAGTCTATTTAAAACAAATTTTTGGGTGCAACCTATATCCTATCTCAAGGTCCTGTAAACAATGTTCTTAGGACATTATTTACACTGCCAGGACATTGTTTTGTTTACACCACTTTGAGAAAGGATGAAGGTTGCATCCAAAAAATTGGTTTTAATAAATGTATACATATATATTGGGTCTTTCCATCACCTTCATCCAAGCACTACAGCATTGTAGTAAGTTTCTCAATAAGTGCAATTTTGAAAGAACAGAAATACTATTAAGGTAGTTGTATATTTATTTCATATAACAGAACTTGACATATTCTTGTAATTAATTAATGTTACTAGAACTTTTAATATGCTAAAATTATTATACCTGACTAAGTGGTTTGTAACCTGAGCACTGATTCAAAATTAACATTTATTGTCTAATATTTGTTGTTTATTGTCACCATACCATTATAAAACATTTCACAACTGTAAATACTAGTTTCAGAGGCACATACCTTTCCTTAACTATAAAGTATACTCTCAGTTTTTAATGCAAATAGCTGTATATATTAAAACAATATTTGACCAGCTGCGCCTTAGTCATCCCATGCATGGGTTGGAACCCTCATCAGGGCCCTTGTGGATTTGTTCACTTGATATATCACGCTATTGTAATTTCTGTGCGTATATATGAATGAGACTGGGTTGATATAAATAGGAGCTGCCTCGTATGGGCCAATAGGCCTTCTGCAGTAACCTTTATTCTTATATTCTTATCCCTGACCAACACATCCAACCAGCAATGGTGTTTGAATATGTGTATCGACTCATGGCTTGGAACCATTTTTTTTTTAAGTTTGTGTATAGTTTCGAGTTATCATTGTTTAACAATAATACTTGTATAACTGTCTGTCATAATGCTGTTAAAGTTTTACATATTTTATTAATATTTTAACTTTAACTAAAGTTTATTTTGGTAATGAACATTAGTAACATATGATGACAATAATAATCACGTTTGACACTTCTGTGTACACAGTACCGTATATTTTTAAATATTAGTCTTTTATGATATCATTTGTAAAATATTTTGTCATATAAGTTTGATTACACATTTTTGAGCACTGTACAATAGTTTGCACTTTGATTAGTTGGATCATGGATGATGATAACACAGCCACCTCCTGACGCATGGCCTCAGCGACAGCTTGGACAAACAATCCTCGCTCAATTGAACATTTGTAAGTCCCACTGAACAATTTGTACTGAATACAATTTGTTCGAAGCATCCAGGAATTCGTTAGGGTGAGGATGTACTGTACCAGTACATAGTTGCTATCCACCTTTGAATAAGATAATTCATGGAAATATATAAATTCAAGAGATAAAAAACAAACAAGCAATAATGATAACACATGTACTAAATCATCATTTGCACTGTCTGTCTACCCACATCATTTCATTTATTACTCAAAATATGCAAAGATAATACTACACTGTAATATCGAGTCTAACATTACTTTTCTTCTCGATTCACTGAACTTCTCATGAAGAACCATAAAATTTTTAGGTTATTCTGAAACAGACAAACTGATGTCTGAAATTATATCAATGTCTTTGTTTAACTAGATTATCATAAGCCTTTCTTTGCTATTAATCCAATAGCTAATAATCCATTAGAATATATATAACAAAATTTACTAATGCATGTACAATTTTTTCCGTTTCACTTGTAAATTACAATACTGTATTACTCCTGTAAATAAAAGGCTGATGCTTTATGTTGAGCCAAAATATGCAATGAAGTCATACAACATAATAAAGTTAAAATAATAAATGTAATTTTAATATACAAAACTAAATGTTAATACAGTATATACAGGTATTTGACAATTGATTCACATGAAGTAATAATTACTGTAATACTTATTATACAGTACTGTGTATTATTCATAATTTGCCAATTCATTATATGGTTCCCTCAATATGATCTACCTCAAAGCTTCCTAAGTCCCCATATAAGACACTGAATTAACTTTCAGCAACTTTTGTAGCGAGATATAAAATTGTAAAATTCCTTATTGTCACGGGACAATATGTCTGCGCCTGATGTGCCTTCTTAGGTTACTTTTATCCTTAGTACGAAGAGGGCAGTGAGGGCAGGCAAAAGGAGCATCTCCAGTATGGGTCCTCATATGGATGTCAAGAGAACCTCGATAATCGTAGGACTTTGGGCAGAGAGGACACTGGTAGAATTTGTTGGGGTGAATTGAGCCAAGAGGTGGAGGTACAAGTCTGGCTGACATCTGGGGAGAAAGGAATGGCAAAAATTAGGCAGTGCATGTTTCATCAATAGTCACTGTATGTCAGGATACAGAAGTAATAATATATAAAATCTCTGTGATCGTTGCCTTCAATAGCTGATAAATATGATAACGTAAGATTTGACAACAATCTCTTCAGTCATACTGTACAAGGGTGCTCACTTAAAATTTGTCCAATACCTTTAGTAATCATTGCTTGTGATTTGTATAATTAAAACTCAAATGCTTTGTTATGAGTATTCTGATGTTTTGACTTAATATGGCGCTGGAGATTGCCAAGTTGTGTGGCCCGGTAGGAACAGAAGTTACATGCAAATGGCTTTTCTCCTGTATGTGTCCTCTTGTGCCTTTCAAGATCAACACTGCCATAAAATTTCTTGGAACAAAATGGGCATGCATGTGCGCGTGATAAGCTTGCTAGTTCAGGGAGGCTGGAGGTGGTCAGTTGTTGTAGAGGATGTCCAGCAGGCAAGGGTGGGCAACTAGGTTGTGAGGAGGATGACGCACGAGGCAGCAAGGAGGTGCTCCTAACCTGATGAAGAAAAAGCAGATCACAGTCTAATTGAAAAATTGGTTATTGAGTTAAAATTTTGCATGAAATAAATTATATTTCTGAATAACTCATTGTCTTTACATTCTGCTGTGACTGAACATAATATTTTCTTAATTCTAATAACTCATGTACTTAAATAACAAAAATCAGACAAAACTGCATTTAATTGTAAAAAACTACATCTTACCATCTGTAACTTTCAATCATCATCCTCTAGGTAGACTGCTCACAAATACAGCATTTTCTTCTGGTATGTCCTTGAACAAGTGAATGAATGTGAGAGTAAGAGGAAAGAGAGGGGAAAATGAAATACAGGAGAATAAAAGGGAAGGAGAATAAGAGAGAGAATAAGAGAATAAGAGAGAGAGAGAGAGAGAGAGAGAGAGAGAGAGAGAGAGAGAGAGAGAGAGAGAGAGAGAGAGAGAGAGAGAGAGAGAGAGAGAGAGAGATAGAGAGGGAGAGAGAGAATGAGAGAGAGAGAGAGAGAGAGAGAGAGAGAGAGAGAGAGAGAGAGAGAGAGAGAGAGAGAGAGAGAGAGAGAGAGAGAGAGAGAGAGAGAGAGAGAGAGAGAGAGAGAGAGAGAGAGAGAGAGAGAGAGAGAGAGAGAGAGAGAGAGAGAGAGAGAGAGAGAGAATGCTAGTGCCACAATAACAGCAATAACTTATATACACATTTTTTATCACAGTCAGCTGAGGAAGGTTATTCCTGGTTCTCTATGCCTGGCATATTTCACAGAACAAACAGTATTATGAGATCCTCTCAATAATACAAGTATATCTTTTCTGAAATTTCTGTGGGGTGTGCTTAAAGATTGAGGAGCAAGACAGGCATTAGGAGCATGGGCGAGTGTGCAGTGAGGGTTGCATAATTTATATTGCAGCCATACTTTCTGGATCAAATTTAAGTGCAATACTGTACTTCAGGTATCTAGTCAATATTGATGATAAATTCATGACATACTGAATTGAAACACAGAACAGAGGAAGAAGAGAACATAAGTAAATCAGAACCAGATGGAATCCCTACAAGAAACTATATCAAAAATAATAATAATAATAATAATAATAACCATCATCTTTATTAGCCAACAAATTATTGTACATACAGCATTAGGTTCGTACAGCAAAAACACAGCTTCAAGCCAGGTTTTGTGAGTCATAAGACTCTTACAAGTATCCTTAAGTTTACAAATTTGAAAATTCCAATGAAATGAAAGGTTTACATAAAAATATAAATAAAATAAAGTAGACAAAAAATGTATCAGCATATATGATTTACAAATATTATTGGCCAAGTAATTCATTACATCTATGTATTCTAAAATCTACAAGCACTGTACACATTTTTTTAAACTGTACAGATAAACATCATTTACACACTAATGAGAACATATACAAAATTCAAATACTGTACTTGGTAAATATTAAAGCAAGAAAGTATAATCATGCTAACCTCATTGAAATTGGTCATGGTGGGTTGGAATGACTTAGTTAATAGACATTTGTTTGGTGCTGCACTATGGTGTCTACTTTTCCAAGCTGTCTTGGTAGATAATCCAAACTTGGTAATGTAACAAAAGAGCACTTTATATTTGTTAAATTGCTTTTACAATTTTCCTGACAAACACACAATACTAACAAAATAATATACCTTTTTTTTTTCTTGCAACAAGTTTTTCTTTACTTGAATATTTACCTAAATTTTTTAAACAGCTTGTTTATGGTACTTTTTTCATAACATTTTTCACTTCTTATTGCTTTATTCCATTTTCAATACTTATACTTAAAATATACTGTTTATACAGTATATTATATAGTTTTTTTGCTGTATATTTACAACACATGTTCTATCAATTATAGACATTACTTTTATTCATGTAGCCAAAACACTCTTTCGTCACTTTGACATCCAGAGCACTGGGCAAAAATCATATTGCGTCAACATTTATCTCTGACCATCGCAATGCTTTGTTTTCAGAAAACTGATATTGGGTGTGAACTCAAAATAAGTCTGGTCCCAATAAGTCTGTTTGAGTGTGAGATAACACTGTACAGTACTGCAATCTAATTAACAGATGTGGGCATTAACTGGATAATCAATGCAACATGATGAGTTGGGTATTACGATGAAATAATAACTACACATTTCTATTTTACCATACGATGACTCAGCTTTATGTGTGGAAAATTCAAAGTACAATACTGTCAAATAGAGTGGGAATTAAATAAGATCTTTTTATAGTTAACAAATAACTTGCTTTTTTTCTCAAATTTTTTATTATATTTGATATAAAAAATTAAAACATTTCTCTACAAAATTTAAAATGTAATTTTTTATCCTTGGGCATATTCATAAGTTTTTCTATTTAGGTAAACTAAAATTTGATGTCTCGGTAAAGGAAAATTATTTGCTTTTCAACAAGTTAAATGCTGCAGTCAAAGAATTAACTAGGGTAAGTGTAAAGAATGTCATGAGAGCAATTAACTGTGATTTCACTTTTATGGTAATATTATGTGAAAAGTGGCAGAAATATTTCTACATAGAAATAAATTAGCTGAAAATACACTGAAGAAATAGACAGTGACAGGCATTGTTTATAAGTAGGTTGTAAATGCAAGAAGGTAGAGCCACCCACAGATCTCAGTTCTCTATTGCAGAATAACCCAGGAATTAGTTATTATTATTATTATTCTTGCACTAATATTTGTGATTGACAAAGAGCACTAGTGCCGAGTTACTGGATCCCACATTCTGTTGTATATCATTAGAATGCATTATAAAAGTAAAAGAAAGCCTAACTTTTACGAACAAAAGAGTATATTCAATGTTAATACTGTTATGAGAAAATAGATTACTTAGACCAGATGAAAATCCACAAAGAATGGAGACCACAACCTTGGCCTATCTACATTATTTGGATATATTTACCATATATTATAAAAACAGAGTTGCTCTAATACTCTTCCTTAGACTACTCTCCCAATAAAATGTAAATTTGTGTGTCCTGCATAAATATGCCAAATTATTTGACACTATTTGTTAATTTTATTATTATTATATCAAACTTTTCTGATGGATACATATATATAAAGCAAATAAATTAATATAATGAAAAAATTTACTGTAGCTTATAAAATCATAAAATGCCACATGGCAAACAGATATTTTCTTAATGACTCTTGACTGGCATTTGATATAAGTATAGTATTTTGAAGCTAAATTGGAAGTTGATATGACTATTTCCTTAAGTTTAAAATAAAAGTAAACAACTATAAGCAGTTATGAAATTATGATTTGTTGTTTAGCTTAAATTATGTATTATGATAAACAAAGAAGATAGTGCATCAGAAAGATACAATTATATATGGAACGATGCTACCAATTAAGTCAAATGGTCAAACAGTGATCTTCTTTTTTCCAATAACAACATAAAAATTAATCTATAGTCTTTTATAGTTCCCTTGCCTTAGACATTTCTATATAACACATAATTTATAATCTGATCCTTTACCTGACTGGAAATATATAATAAAACCTTATTAAAAATCTCTTTATTTTTTGAGTAATTAAGTAAAAAATATAAAACACCTCTGTTACCAATTCCAAACCAAGACCATATTTTAAGAAAGCTGAAAATATATTAAGAACAATGCTTTTACGCAATAAATGATTCACTAGAAATCATACATTGTCAACTTAGACAAAAAAATGCAGAATGGTTCTTTATTTCATATATTTATGTTTATTATTTATTCTGTCTAATTTCTTGTAGGTAAGCACATTGCATTTGTGAACTATTCTCATTACAGTTCATACTTTCACAAGAGTTCGAGACAGATTTATGTGCAGTATCATAAGCCAGATGATTTTTTAATGAAGTTTGTCAGATTAATTACAATTTACCTTTCTTGAAAATTCCAATAATTCTGACAAAAATTTCTCACCCGCTTAAAAATCTTAGCTTGAGATTAACATGTGACAAACATTTTGTCATTTTGTATTACTGTATCTTTAAAAATGATAATACTGTATGCAATCAAATAATGAAAATGGTTAAAAGCAAATATATTCTTAACAGAATGAAAATCAGGACACTTCAATTTGACAATATTTGGATAAAAAAGAGAAAATCAATAGGAAAATAAGTTTGCATACTTACATCCACATATCTGGTCCTCAATTTTTTATTTATGTTTTGATATGAATATATTATTGAAACACTGGGAGGTAAAGTGGGGCTTCCAATCTTTTCCAAATACTTGAAAACTAAACCTTGAAGCCCAAAAGTAGTTACACAAAAGAAAAGCTGCTCTGCAACATAACTATCTTGGGGTAAAGCACCCTAGAGTTACTCCAAGTATTCTGAGTTTATTCACAGATCAGTACTGTACAATTATTATATACTGTAATGTTTAAGCATCAGTATGAC